TACTTCCCCACCAGAAGGTGTTCAACACTGCTCTGGCTGGTCATCAAATCCAATATTTTCAGAGTGACCTAATACCACCAAATAATATCCATAGGGATGTTATAATTGAAGATTTTATATCAACTCCTTAAGCCACGTAGTGTTCACTGGATGCTACGGTTACTAATCCTCTCTTTGTAGAAGAGAGGCTATAACTCAGTCAACTCATCTAGCTTTATCTTTACCTCCTTTGTAGAATCATCAATAATCATTAGCTGTGATTCTATTTTTTTATTTTATTAATTTATTTTGATTTATCAACAATCACTTCCATATGCTTTTGAGTTGAAACTTTTTCTCCCCCTTCCTTCTGATATAGGCTTTACGTTTACATACCCATTAAACATATTTTCACATTAGTGAAGTTGTAAGTAAAAATTAAAACCAATAGGAGGAACCATCAGAAAGATTAAACAAAACTCAACAGAAGGTAAAAATAAGTGATAGCGATTCACTTCCATAGTTCTTTCTTTGGATGTGGACAGCATTTTCCATCCGAGGCCTCTGGAGATGTCTTAGATCCTTGTAATGCTGAGAAGGGTTCAGTTTAACATATTAGTCATTGCATAAGTGGCTGTTATTGTGTACAAAGTCCTTTTGGTTCTGCTCACTTCACTCAGTGTCAGACCATATAAGTCTTTCCAGGTTTTTCTGAAGTCAGCCTGTTCATCATTTCTTATAGCACAATAGTATTCCATTACATTCATATACCACAACTTGCTCAGCCATTCCCCAATTGATGAGCATCCTCTCAATTTCCAATTCTTTGCCACCACAAAAAGAGCTGCTATGAATATTTTTGTACATGTGGGTCCTTTTCCCATTTGTTTGATCTCTTTGGGATATAGCCCTAGAAGTGCTATTGCTGGATCAAAGGGTATGCACATTTTTGTAGCCCTTTGGGCATAGTTCCAAATTGTTCTCCAAAATGGTTGGATCATTTCACAACTCCACCAACAATGTATTAGTGTTCCAATTTTCCCACATCTTCTCCAACATTTATCATTTTCCTGTTTTGTCATGTTGGCCAATCTGATAGGTGTGATGTGGTACCTCAGAGTTGTTTTGATTTGCATTTCTCTAATCAATAACGATTTAGAGCATTTTTTCATATGACTATAGATGGCTTTAATTTCTTCATCTGAGAACTGTCTGTTCATATCCTTTGACCATTTATCAATTGGGGAATGGCTTGTGTTCTTATAAATTTGTCTTAATTCTCTATATATTTTAGAAATGAGGCCTTTATCAGAGAGACTGGTTGTAAAAATTCTTTCCCAATTTTCTACCTTCCTTCTAATCTTAGTTGCATTGGCTTTGTTTGTGCAAAAACTTTTCAATTTAATGTAATCAAAATTATCCATTTTGCTTTTCATAATGTTCTCTATCTCCTGTTTGGTCATGAATTCTTCTGTTCTCCATAGATCTGATAGGTAAACTATTCCTTGTTCTCCCAGTTTACTTATGGTATCAGCCTTTATATCTAAGTCATGAACCCATTTTGACTTTATTTTGGTATATGGTGTGAGATTTGGGTCTATGCCTAGTTTCTGCCATACTCTTTTCCAGTTTTCCCAGCAGTTTTTTTCAAAGAGTGGGTTCTTATCCCAGAAGCTGGGGTCTTTGGGTTTATCAAATAATAGATTACTATAGTCATTGACTACTGTGTCTTGCATATTTAACCTATTCCACTGATCCACCTCCCTATTTCTTAGCCAGTACCAAGCAGTTTTGATGATTGCTGCTTTATAATACAATTTAAGATCTGGAATTGCTAGGCCACCTTCCCCTGCATTTCTTTTCATTAGTTCCTTTGATATTCTGGACCTTTTGTTTTTCCAAATGAATCTTGTTATTATTTTTTCTAACTCTATAAAATAATTTTTGGTAGTTTGATTGGTATGGCACTGAATAAGTAAATTAGCTTAGGTAGGATTGTCATTTTTATTATATTAGCTCGGCCTACCCATGAGCAACTGATGTTTTTCCAATTATTTAGATCTGATTTTATTTGTGTGAAAAGTGTTTTGTAATTGTGTTCATAGAGTTCCTGGGTTTGTTTCGGAGGTAGACTCCTAAATATTTTATAATGTCTACAGTAAGTTTAAATGGGATTTCTCTTTCTATCTCTTGCTGTTGGGCTTTGTTGGTAATATATAGAAATGCTGATGATTTATGTGGGTTTATTTTATAGCCTGCAACTTTGCTAAAGTTGTTTATTATTTCAAGTAGTTTTTTACTTGATTCTCTAGGATTCTCTAAGTATATCATCATGTCATCTGCAAAGAGTGATAGCTTTGTTTCTTCTTTGCCTATTCTAATGCCTTCAATTTCTTTTTCTTCTCTTATTGCTAAAGCTAAGTTTCCAGTACAATATTGAATAACAGTGGTGATAATGGACATCCTTGTTTCACCCCGATCTTATTGGAAATGCTTCTAGCCTGTCCCCATTACATATAAT